CCCCAAAACCCCAAAACCCCAAAACCCCAAAACCCCAAAACCCCGAAGAGTGCAGACTAAGTTGAATAGGAAAATTAAGGAAGATAATTCAATTTATACTAAAGTACACTCTTCCTTCCAAAGACCTTAACCTTCTTGATATTTATAAGGCTTGAGTTGATACTCCTTCTAGACACACTTGCTTCATCAAGTATCTTGGTATCATCATCTGAGTCAATATCTGCATTTGAAGAGAAGTGTTCGTACTCTTTATTTGTAATCACCTGATTAGTAGTGGTTTCATCTTCTTCTGCCTTCTCTTCAATAATCTGGGAGCTTAAGTCTTCTAAATGATAGGTCTCAACTCTATTGTTGAGATCTTGACTTTCATCATGTTTTTCGTCATAGTCATCCTCCATTTCTTCATAATGAAATTCTTCAATCCCACTTTCAGTGATTATTATAGGATTCTCTTTCTTATAAAAGTTTGCACTAATAAACTCAGTCTCTTGGCTAACAAGCTTGGGGTCTTGATCAGAGACAGGCTCAGAATCTTCTGCTTGAGGAGTGGTATCCCCATAATACTCAATTATTTGAGGATGAGAAAATTGGCTTCCCACAGTAGGATTTCTCTGTTGTTCAATATTCCCGGAACCAAGTCTATCAATACTCTTTCTTAAATGAGAAGAAATAGAAGGCCCAGAATTTGATCCAATTTCAGGTAGGGAATTTGTGTATCTCATCGACTGATTCACTTGTCTGCTTTTATTCCGATGATAATTGGAAGATACTTTCTGCAATGAATTCATCCGATTTTTCATATTTGCATTCTTCCCGCTTCCAAAAGTATTTCTATTTCTAAAAATAGCATTAGAACCTCATACTTTTGATCATAATTCTCTATTTTATTCTTGACATAGATTTCGGCTTTCTTCTGAGGATTTTTATCTATTTTTCTTGATTTTATGCTATGTAAAGGAATTGCTAAGATTTAAATATCAAAATACCCTTATTTCACCTTTTGTTCACGACTTGAGGCACTAACCCTAGATCCGGTAGAAGAACTACAAGATTAAAGCATGAGTGTACCTGATATTAGAACTTCTGGCGAGTCTAATCTGGCTATTGAGCTCATCTACTATTTTCTGAAACTCTTGGTCTTTCATTGCAATAATATTATCAAGTTCCTTTATAGCTTTCAAACTTTGGCTTTTAACTTTGTCTATTTCCTCTCTATGCTGCTGATCGAGCTCTGAGATAGCTACTGAGTCACATGATGGTACTTACAAACTTGGAGTTTAATATTCTCTTGTCTGAGTTTCATGTTCTCAGCCTTTAATTTGTTCACAATTTCAATCCAGTTTTGGTCATTATTGCCTAAAGAAATTCTTGAGAGGTCTTGGTACCTTTAAAGTCCTCTATTGATCTATTATTGGTTAATAAAAGGCTTACTCTTTCTCTAGCTTTCCTTGTAAGGTAAAAATGCTGCTGTCAGTCTTGGTTTTACTATTTTTATTCACTGAGTCAATGTTATTCCTGGTGAGAGAAGTACTAGTCTTTTCATAAAGCGTCTGCAAAGCATCTGGAAATGAATTAGTTTAAGAAGTACCTTTATAGTTTCTCCCTTTTTCGATTTCTATTTCTTTGGCAACCTGAGGCTCCTTTTCATACAAGTGAACTGAATCAACATTTATAATATTTGAATTTGAGTAAGTTTCCTATTTTGTTAAAAATAAAGTACCTTTGAGGGAGATTCGGAGGAGTACATCTCTTGTGAATCATTTTGAATAAAATTTTCTTCTGATACTTCACTGCCCAAATTTATTTCTCCTTCTAAAAATTCATAATATCAAAGGATTTTAGGGACTTTGAAAATTTAAAGAAATACCTCTACTCCCTGGGCTATCATGGTATCTAAAAATAAGGTTGATAGATTACGTATATTTGATTAAATTCATTCTATTTATAATCCTCTTCAGTATATTTAATTTCCCCTCCTAAAGTAATTTTCTGTCGTTCTTTGCTTCTTCTCAATTGTCTATTTTTCCTTCATTGAAAGTTCAGGCTCGCTAACAGTATCAGACTCATTCACCTCAATTACTTCTTCCATATACTCGTTACTATCGCTAGCATGGGTGTGAGGGTCATAGCCAAGTTCTGCAATAGGGTTTGAATATCCTTCAGGTTCATCTACAGTCATCAGGATTAAATTTACCATAAACAATAACTGTGCCATTGCTCTCAACATCAGACTCAGTATTGACTTCCTTTTCTATATGAAATAGTTTAAATTTGCCATAGATAAAAATGTTAAAACATAGGTATGTGAATGTACCATTCGATGTCTTCGCTTCTCTGGAGTCCTCTACTTTGTTCACTTCAATCACTGAACTATTCTCAGAGGGATGTATCTCATAATCTTCGTCAATATTTGTATGTATTTTTAGCTATTTGATCACAATGAGAGGGAATACATAAGAAAGAAAAATACTACTAATAAACAGGCGACTATAAACTTCTAGTAAGGCATAATTTGCAAAAATGTAAAACCTAAATACCCTTTGAAAAGGACTTACAACTTTGTCAGGATTATTCTGATATTCTTCGTTAATCCCCTTTTGTTCTTCATACTTGTTCACTTTTAATTTCTTCTGAAATTCTTTCAAATTGTTCCAACGACTATTGGATGGATCAGACATATAAATTTATGGATAAATAGTTTAAATAATAAAATTCAAATATTATATGAATTGATGGGGTTTTGGGGTTTTGGGGTTTTGGGGTTTTGGGGTTTTGGGGTTT